ACGAATACGTGAGTCGCCAACGGCAACTGGTAGATGGCACAGCCATCGCGATTGCGCGAGCCCCTACCAGAAATTCGTTGCGCCGCCCTTGGGGGCAAAAAACGGTGAAAGCTAACGTACGAAATCAGAGGGCAGCACACGGTGCGATCGCGCGACCCTGCACGTGAGCAATCTCCCAACTCATCTCTGTTGCATATTGCCAAATTTCTTGTCTATTCTCTGGAATTGTGACTGACGGCTTGGCGATTGATTATTAACAAATTCCGTAGTCATTAAACGATATATAAAAACTAATAAGGTAAACGTTCATGTTTATTTTTAGATTGCAAGCTATTAGAATTTTTATTTATCTTACACCTCGTAGAGGTTAGATTTCAAGCGTTACACGGATGAGTTTTTGCAGTGTTAGTTTTATTGGATTACTCAAAAAATATGATGAGAGTATTTTGAATGTAATAAATAGGCATGCTTGTGTATAATTAAATTTCTATAACTTTATTTCAATATAAAAATGCGTTATGTACTTTGGTACCCCATGTGGACTGTCTATTACATGAGATATTCAATTCAGAATGTCTGGCCGAGAAGGGGGAAAGAAGAAACCACTGAAAGCACCGAAGAAGGAATCGAAAGAATTAGATGATCAGGACGTAGCATTCAAGCAGAAACAGAAGGAACAACAAAAAGCCCTTGCCGAGGCAGCGAAGAAAGCCAGTCAGAAGGGACCTCTCGTTACGGGTGGAATTAAAAAATCTGGGAAGAAGTGATAATCGTATGTGGAATCATGGACATTATCGATAAGACACGGAGTCATTTGAACGCCGTGCTTGGTTTAAAGCTGCCGATGAGTGCCCGCGCCACCCATCTTTTTATTTTATTAATTCACCTCCCTATTTTGAATGTCCCACCTTTGTAAATAAAATAATTCAGCCATAGGTCTATTCGTCGCCGTGCAATTGCTGTTAATATCGTTTAGTTATCGATAAAGTTTTATTCCTTGTGGGGATACTTTAACATACATGTCCATAATTTAGCATACTTCTAAATGACCATTGTACTCCGTGTCACCATGTATGAAACTTGTACAAGCATAAGATATCGCACAGTTTAAAAGATTTCTTACGCTCGTATGTCTCGATGCGTGTCTTATCACCTCGCGCAGTATAATTAGATCGTTCCATTTGTTTGCAGCTAACGGATCTATGTAGAAGTCATTTTATAATATCTCAACGTGCATCGTTAAAGAGTCCGAAAATGAAGATTCTCTGCAATTGGAAAAAAATTCAATTCCCTTATATTATGGCATACTTCAAAGTCGGTATTCCCACCGAACTGTATATATTTCGCCCGCAATTCTCAGCATACATTCCTAAACAACCAGTCTCATTCTTATCTCATCTAAATTTAGAAAACGGGACGAAAAATCCCTGCGAGCCAACTTCTCCAGCCTCGATGCTGTCTGCGTTACATCTGTTTCTCCTTAAAGATCCGTGCAAATCACGTTCTAAAATGAATGCATATGATGTAATTTTTCTCCTGAAACAATTCTTCGTCCTGCGTCATCTCGCATTTCTTGAGGAATCATACGCAACATTTAATGTAAATTGCAGACGTAATGCAGATGCGAGACACGAGGTTTAACGCTTTGCTCTCCTGGTGGACGTGCACGGCGTGTCGAGAGGAGAGCCTTCATTTGGAAATACTTCTTTGTTCGGCCACTTCTCGGCAATAGCGAAGTGCATAATCGGCGACGGATTGTGCAAGGTGCGATGTCCCAGATATCGTTAGGTCAGCCATTGCCGCATCGATGGGCCTTTTGTGTAAAAATCGAGGGCCGTCGGGCCCCTTAGGGGCCCCCGACGAAGGCGGCCCTGGAGGGGCTCGCGCGGGAGAGGGGGAAGCACCAGCCAATCAGAAGCCTCGAACGCGGTCCAGCTGACTGCCATATGATCGCCAGAGCCGCCAACCTCGGGAAACCAAACTACTGGTCCGTCAAAGGAAACGAGTTTTCATTTTATTATCGTCTCCTTTGTTTACCTTACCTCACACTTATAAATTTAAATCGAAGCGATTACATTATTCGTGGGAAAGATTTCGGTTATTAGATGGACGTACCCGATGGAATGAAAAGGCTGGACGTTTAGTTTTATAAAGGAGGACGTGACATTGGAATATTGATGGTTTTTATTACGATATTTGTCCGTATCGTTGGGCTTATCCTTGAGGCTTCCACGTGTTCTTAGAAAGAATCGATGTACCCAGTAAACGTGGCCCGTTTAATCGAACTTCTCTCCCAGCTCAGTTGGCAAGGTGTCAATAAATTCTCCCCGCACTTTACAAGGAAGGTTTTTTTGTTCTAAGTAGACAAAGGGGCACGGAAATATCTGGAGATTTTTTAACGCGGCCAATGCCCCGGCGATTCCAAATCCGATGTTCGTTGTTCCGCGGGATGGTCAGACTTTATTAGTTCCTTGCTATTTGCCAGGATTCTTCGAAGATTTGCCTCTATTCTTTCACCTTTGGACCGTCCAGAGAACGGAGATACGAACGATTACGAAATAATTGAAAATTTCAACTTTATTCAAGTATTCCACATTCGGGCAGAATTTAATTGAAAGATGCATGATATCGATATTTGGTATGGATAACTGGGAACTCTATAGACTCTCGGTGAAAACCCGAAAAACGCGAAATTACCGAACCCTAGTTATCACTCGCAATCAATCCGATTTCCCAGCCGGAAGGATCGATTACGAAATTTGATATTAAACAGAGTCGAAAGAATTTTCAACGTAAGCGTTAAATTAATTTATATAATAAAGCCGCGTATCGTGCGGCTTTATTATATAACCGTCCATCTTATCGGGATCGTAATTCATTCGTTTTCTATCATTTTTTACGGTTAACCACTTGGTTTACGTAATATACGTGAAAAACCCCGGAAGATGCGAAATTACCGAACCCTAGCCATGACTCGCAGTCGATCCTTTTGCGAATTTTGTATTTCCCAGCCGAAAGGGTCAGTTACAAAATTTGATATTAAACAGAGTAGAATTAAAAGAATTATATGAACGCAAGGGCCAAATTAATTATTCCTTAAAAATTGTTACGTATTTATATGTGTGCCAAAAGACGTTTATAACCCAACAGAAGTCGTATATCGTCCATCTGCGGCATTCTTCATATTGGGATTGTAATTCATTCGTTTTCTACAATTTTTAGTTGGTTTACGTAATATAAGTGAAAAACCTCGAAAAACACGAAATTACCGAACCCTAGCCATGACTCGCAGTCAATCCTATTTCCCAGCCGAAAGGGTCAATTACAAAATTTGATATTAAACAGAGTAAAATCAAAAGAATGGGATAGGGGAATGGAAATCAAAACAACGGAAGTCGTGTATCGTCCATCTGCGATATTCTTCATATTGGGACGGCAATTCATTCGTTTTCTACCATTTTTTACGGTAAACCACTTGGTTTACGTTATATACGTGAAAAAAATGGAAGGGCGGAAGATATTTATTGCTTGCGTAGAAAACCAGAGACGTATTATACGTTGTAATGTACAGGTAGAAAATTTATTATTTTACATTTAGAAGCAGAAGAGCGTAAGATATTTATTGCTCGCGTAGGAAACCAGAGACGTATTATACGTTGTAATGTACAGGTAGAAAACCACGTATATTACATGACGTATATGCTTACCTAACCCTGGGACTGCCAGTCTGTCAAAACCAGCTGATCGGCTCGCTTCGCCAGCGCGAGACCAAGGATGACACGCGCCGCGCTGCCCGGCCTCCAATTGGTCGCGAGGCGGCTCGATTGGTTTTTCGGGCCGCGGAGTTGGCAACGCCGCCGCCGCGGCCGCGGCCGCGAGCGCTGTCACCGGCTGGGTCAGTTGGCAACAGACCCTCGGCCGGGTCGGACGTGGCGGCGAGTCGCGAGGAGAGCGCTGCGCGGCTGGTAGTGCATCGGCCTAAGCGGAGCGGCGAAGGGAGAGGCCAGAGGGGGCCAGGAAGACCCCGAGGGGACCCGGACGGGCCATGGGGCCTCACGAGGTCATTTGACCCGGGGAGACGACTCCGGAGCCTCGGCGGAGGGTGCCTGACATCGGGTGGTCCCATCACGAATCGGTGAGTCCAATTTCTGCACGCACTCGCGTGGATGCGTCTACGCGAGCCTCCGGTCTCTTCGATATTAATGCCATGCAACTTTTAAGGTTATATGAAAGGGTCATACCGTATACATAATACGTGAAAATATGTGTAAGACTTTTCTCCAAACTGGGGGCACCGAATCGTTGGACATTTTAACACGTGATTATGAAGGACCTAAACAAGAACGTGGTAATCGTGAAATTTAAATTTTCAAAAAAATATATATTCTTGGTTCTAGTTAAAATGTTTGTCATGCTTTTATCCAAACTGGAGACACTGAATCATTTGAAACTTTAACACGTGATTATGAAGGACCTAAGGAAGAATGTGGTGGTCGTGAAATTTCAATTTTCAAATAAATATATATTCTTGGTAGTATGGGATACACAAAACATTTGTGTTTGAAATACGTAATTATCTTCTATCTTATCTTCTGTATATATACATACATACGTATATATACCAGAACCAATATGAGAAGAAAGATTATTTGTATTTGGTGCATAATTGATTTATGTTGTTTTGTGACCGTATTAACATAATGTAACCGAGAGTATGACAAATAGGTCTACTGACGGGCACATATTTGGCGAAGTTCTTTTGCACCTGAAGAAGGTGTTTTTGATTCGATATATGTACATATACCAAACCAATATACACACGTACATATATGTATACATATATATATGACACTTTCATATCACCGTAAATCCTGAGAACGTGTTTCCGAGTTGACGTCGAGTACGTTCGATTCGTTTATTTCGCACGAAAGCGTAACCTTCAAGATCGTCCGAGTATCGGGGGAGAAGGTTTTATTTACTCGTTAACAGGTTATGTAGGGCGGTTTATCTTTGTCATTTTTTTTTTATGCCTCGCGTAATCCCTTCAGGAGGTCCCATAGCACGTCGCATTCACGTGGCCGCATCTACGAGCGAGTGGAATTTTGTTTGAGAATTTGTTTCCTAGCTTTCTCGACGTTTGTTGCTTCCATAGAGTTTATAGACATGGAGAGGAGTAGTAGGAGTGGGGGTAGGTTGAGGAGGTTAGACAAAGAGGTCCAATTCTCACTCCGTGTTTACCGGAAGTTCTTACTGCGCAAGTGTAGGACATACTGTATCATTTTGTTGTGGCGAAAGGTACCGTATAGATACATAACCTCAAAATAGTTATACAATGTATCATCTGCAATGCCATTCAGAGTAAAAATCATAGGGTGTCTCTTCACTTGTAAGTAATAGAGTTAGTTTAATATAACATGGGGTAAGAACGTTTTATATAAAAGTTAGTTACGGCTGCGAAAAAAAAAAAAAAGATTCGAAACAAGATTCACCGAGTTAATACTGTTTAAAAATGGATAAATTTCCAATTGAAAGGGAGAAGAAAAAAAGAGGAAGAAATTTCTTTACAAATTTTACCATTCACTTTAGTGTTTAAATTTCGTGTGTCGAAAGCCTACTAATGCGCGCGCAGCTCACGTCCGGTAACACTTACAAGCAAGGTATATATAAATTTCTTTTATAATATGTTATAGTAGGCTAAAAACTAAGCGACACGTATTTTTTTTTTTATCTGCCATTAAACACTTTAAGGGGGTGAAACCACCATCTAAAGTAAGGCCTGTGAGGAGTGGCTCACCCCTTCATTTTTTTTTTAATTCATAAAATTATATTTTTCATTTCTCGTCATGAGAAAGCTTTTCCAGGTGGATTGTTTAAAAAATATTATGTTCTTGTGGGTGAAACTGCCAAATCGCTCCTTGACATGCCTTACTTTGGATGGTGGTTTCACCCCCTTATAGTGTTTAATGGCAGATAAAAAAAAATACGTGTCGCTTAGTTTTTAGTCTACTATAACACATTATAAAAGAAATCAAATCGGAGAGATACCTTCCTTGTTAGAGTGAGAAGGTCCCTTTCTCTATCTAACCTCCTCGTAACACCTAACTCTATACAGATACTATAGCAAATGGCCTCTCCATGTCTATAATTGCTAAATGCTCTATGGTTATGCTTCATTTCCTAGAGCTGGTATATGCCGTTCTAGGGTCTCGTGCGCGCGCACCTCCGAAATTGCAGATTTATTTATTTCGGGCTTCGCCGCTGCCGAATTGGCCCCTGCAGCTG